ATCCAGCATACATTATTAGTTAAGGAACTATGCCAGAGTCAGGAATTTGCTACTTCTGTATTACTTGGTAGTCAAGGAAGCTCCAGAAGCTCCCAAAATACTCTTGATTGCCCAATATACATAGTTGATAAAACCTTATTGTTAGACTCCACACACTTTAGGTGTAATATTGAATCTGGAAATTACCTGAAAAGTTTTTCCTCTTGATTAGATTTTATAGTGAAATAAGTTGTTATTCTTGGTAGATGAGGCATGAATGGTCACATCCAGTGAAAAATCACTATATGCCGTCTTACCAGTTAATTTATGCCCACTGAAGCAACAGTGTTACAACTGTTTATAATGGCAAAAAAATGAATGCCCTTGGAATGAATTTGATGCCTACTCCAAAAGGGAATATATGGCTGGTACTTTAAATTTTATTAAAAATCCATGATTAGGACCATCATAGGCCCTGGGGAAAGAGGACCTTGCTGTTGATGTTTAGCTAAATAGGCATACATAAAACTGTCTTCTAAATACTACTTTGTCTTTAACCATAGAAACTTCTCTTTGCAGTGAATGGTGGTCAAACCAGAGTCTCAGAGCTGCTCAAGGTATTCAGACTAAATATTAGTGCTCATTACTAACAAGACATTTATACCATCTCCTGTAAGGTTCAGGGAAAACAGAATGGATACAGAAGTGTTAAGACATTAAGAAGAGATGTGAAATGCTATCTTCAAAGCATGACATGGTCATTATAACCATGCTCTTCCAGTAGCTAGAGATGCACTGTGCCTCCAAGCAGCCAATTCTAAACTGAGGAATAGCTCATGGTTTCCTGTACCTACTGGTGAATTCTGATAGAGTAGCAGTCATTGCCTTAAGTAGAGTACCAAGTTGTTACAGTGAAGGGTTCCAAACTTGTGATCACAAAGATTGGTTAAAACTAGAGGATCACAAAACAAAACAAAATGGCATAACCATTGTAAATGAATCTTTCTGTACACTGTCATTGGTTAATAAAGAGCTGAATGCCCAAAAGTTAGGCAGGAAAAGATTATGTGGACTTGCAGACAAAATGAGAACACAGAGAAGAAAGATGGAGAAGTTACCAGGATATACATATAGAGAAGCAAGATGAATATACCATGCAGCAAAAAGGTACCACCACATGGCAGAGGGTGGAGAAGAAATATGGGTTAATTTAAATTGTAAAACTAGTTAATAACAAGCCTAAGCTATCAGCTGAGCATTTATAATTAATATCAAGTTTCTGTGGCTATTTGGGAGCTAGCTGGCAGGACAGAGCTGACTGGAAGGACAGAGAAAGTTCACCTACACATAACTGTGAGGAAGGCACCTGTAGAAGTAAGAACATGGTAGGGTGGGAAGAATAATCAAGTGAACACGTCTTGTAGATAAATTGGTTTTCTGAAATCCTTTCCATATTTTCCACAAGTTCAAGTCAATTTCCCAATATCTTTTACACTTCCTGTCCCCGATTATAAAAGTATTGGTAGCAAACATCTTCTCTTATCTCACATGGAATGATGAATAAATTTTTTAACAAATTCTACATTTAATACATAAGAATAGTATATAAAATATGGTGAAGATATGTATTATACATTTTAATGTATGTTGGCTAATGTTATATGTAAACTTGAATAAGGACGATGTTTCTTCAAAGATTATTCTAGATTAAAAAATATTTCATCAGTTTCTTTTGAAATTTTCATACAAAGTGTTCAGACCCTGTTTTCTCTCCAACTACTCTTTCCATATTTACATCTCCTTTCCTACCCTCCAAATTTTGTCTTTTTTTTTGTCCCATTAGGGTCATTTTGTGCTGTTTGAAAATTCTTGGATATATATCCTTCCATTTCAACATGGATTCATTTATCAGCGGCAACATTCTTAGAGAAAATTGATCTTCTCTCTACCAGCAGCTGACAATTGTCAGTTGTTCTTCCACATGGGTGGGAGTTTGGGCCCAACTTCCTTCTTCTTGGATTAAATGTAAGATTTCCACTTACGTCAGTGTTCTTAGTAAGACAAACTGCCACTCACGATGGAAATAGAATTAATCCAGTCAGTAGAATGCCTGACTTGGTCAAGAGATGGACGTGAGGTCAAGAAAAAGAAGAGTGAGTACCAGTGGACAATCTTGGGACAACCTCTGCAATGCAGGCTGTGCTCTATGTTTGTAACCATAGGGACCACATAATTTATTTTGGTATTGCCAAGCTCCACAGTCATTTGAATCAAGTACTTAAAAAGAGTTTCCCGGTATGTGATACATCTCTGATGTCTATAGTTTGTGTATATTACAGAATTTACAGAAAATATCATCTCTGTTAGAATATGTGTCTGTGGCCGGGCAGTGGTGGCACATGCCTTTAATCCCAGCACTCAGAGGCAGAGGCAGGCAGATCTCTGTGAGTTTGAGGCCAGGCTGGACCGACAGCCTCCAAAACAATACAGAGAAACCCTGTCTCGAAAAAACCAAAAAAAAAAAAAAAAAAAGAATATGTGTCTGTGTCTGTGCTTCTGATAACAATAATTCACCATATTTTCATTACTTTCTAATAAAGCTAATTTAGTTGGTAACATGAGAATTAGTACTATGAAAGCCAGTACAACATCATCATTTGTCAGTACTATGGCCCAAACAATTGTTCTGGAATTAATCTTATATTTTAACCAGATCTTAATAAATGCGACAGATTAATTATGGATAGGCACCCATTATGTTTGATTCATAGTGGGCTTCAGCGAGGTCCTCATTATCTTGTCTGATATCTTGTTTATGAACATGAGATAAGACCAGGACAGAAAATGTGGTAGGATATATGAAATGAGGGGAATTATCAGATACTTGTTTAATTGCACATAGTATTAGCTATCTATAGCTCTAATTGTCATTGAGGGTAGCCTTAGATCTGCAATACCTTCTTTGGGCTCAGTTATTAGTGTATCCAACCCCCTACTAGTCATCAAAAGTAGAATGAGGAAGAATCAGAGGAGGCAGAAGGGAAGTACAAATAGTAGTAACTCAACATGAGTGGGGGAGAGGTTTGAAGGGGATGACAGGGAGGACCAGGAAGATGAGGCAAGGGAGCATGTTTAGGAGAGGAGCATGTGGAGACAAGGTAGGAGAGGAGCACGAGGAGGGAGACGGCTAGATGCTCTGGGTTTACCCATTTTTCTCCAACAGGCATATTATGCAGATCTGATGTGAGATTCTGATCATGGCAGTATCTGTTAGTACTAGGACATAGTAGGATTCTGTTTACATAAATATAAGTGAAAAGAAAGCATTTTATTAAGTTGAAAACGTCACATGAATGTTTGCTTATATTTAATGCAGAGACATAAATATTCACACAAAGAAAGGAGTTTTATCCAAAGGAATTTGGACATTTGCTCTTCATTTTATTACCATAGTAACAATACAATTTACAGTATGTCATTACACTATTCACCAGTTTCCTCTTTGCTGTATTTAAAAATAGGAAGAAAACACATTGTTTAACAAGGATCAAATGAAAATACATAAAGACAATGTTAAATATAATTTGAGGTCACTTATGCAATCATTTTACTGAATTCTGTTATGATCATAAATAATAATATATATAAAACAGTATAGTAAAATGCAATGACTAAATTATATAGAAAATTCAAGAAATTTTCTGTGATGATCATTCATTCTGGTGATTTTGAGGGTTTGTGATTTTTCTGTAGGAAACCATGGCAACTTAGGTGCTGGGCTTCTTTTATGACAGCATCACAAACCTTGGAATGAACTCCTGCCTCACTCACCAGGACAGACCATTATGTCCCTGTTTTTATTTCTTTCTCAAAGATTATGTTTGGAGGAAATGTTCATTGAATCAAACTTGCTATGTATTTAATTTAAACAATTATGAATTTACACATTCATATAAAATTACATAGGTAATTGAATGATTTTTATATTTACTATAAGAAAAACAATAAACATGAAGTTAGCTAAATAACGGGATTAATGTTATTTTAGTACTCACACATGAACACACAGGTATACATGCTTAAATAAGCACTTGTATAAGATGTGTTACATGTACACACATCTATAAAAATATAGAAATTAATCATTTGTGATTAAAGCATGAAACAATATCTACAAGAATAATTACCTTTCTTGCCACATAGCAAATATTCCTCTATTTTGATATCCCCCACCTAAAATAAGAGTACTTCATGTATTACATGTCTAATTACATTAAAATTAAGATAATCTGTCATCAGTTTTTATTGTAGATATATTAACTAAACAAGGGCAAAAGGAATCAGTATTTTCAAGGAGGAGTAATTAGTATAGAGCCAAGCATAGCTCACTGGGCCTCAGGCAGGCTTGCATCTGAAGTGGGATGGTCATGGAAACCAGCATCACTACTTGTAGCAAGCATTAACGGTAAAGTATTTAAATAGCCAAAAACGCCTATTGATCCTCATGATTTGAGACTAAGTAACATTATTTTGAAGTAAATTATAATCTCCATGTCTCTGTGATTTCAGTTTAATTTAAACTTTAATGATTTTTTTGTAGGAATCCTAATTGTGGGAGTGGGATGTCTCAAATTCTCATGGGACTCTTTTCCTCCTCCTGGGTTGCTGCATCCAGTCTGGACATGAGTATTTGTGTCAAGTCTTATTGCATCTGGTTATTGTTATGCTGTGTTCTATTTATATCACTGTGAGAGCTTCTCTTTTCTGAAGGAAAACAAGGAGCAGTGAGTGGGTTTAGGAGAAAGAGAAAGTAGGGAGGGGAAATGTGAAGAATAGAGGGAGGAAAACCTATTGGTTATTACCTATAAAATGAACAAACTTTTGGTTAATTTTAGCATCAATTTGTACTCCTCTTTCCTGACATTGAAAGGCATTCAGATTCTTGAAAGAGCCAAAATAACATGCCAAGATATAATAAATATGTGAAGAGAAATAAGGAAATCATGACATTTACAATTATGTTTTGCTAATAGTTCCATGAACAGCTTTAAGTTCTTGTGTGGCAGTCATAGTACAAGGGTGGTGAGGTAGACATATAAACACATACACAGGACCAACACGGGCGATGTTGACATTCCTACTACTTTTTTGAGTAGCATATTAGCTCAAAGATAATTTAAAGAAAACAAATTCGCAATCCATTAGGAAGAAAAATGTTCTATGGAGCTGGACTAGATCTTGTATATCCAGCGAAATTGGGGATAGTAACTTGGATAATGATCCGGAAGATGGACAGAGAAATTGATAGACTTCTGTAAACCCATGGGGCTCGTAGAGGACTTCTTCGTTCTCTGTCTAGAGTCACAGTGACTGGCATGGTCCTTTGGTTCAGAAGCCGGTGTCTTATGATATATGATGTGTTATCATGGATTTTCCTTCCTTTCTTCACTGTGAGTTTTATATAAAAATAAAACATTCATGGTTAGATATCTACAATAAACATCTATAGTATATTTAATAATTATTCTTATATTTTTCTCAGCATAGTGAGGCTTATTTTACTGTTAATAAACTGCCTAAATAGTTGGTCATAGAATCTCTTAAGTGGTACTCACCTTTGTCTTCATAGTTCTTGCTTTAAGATCAAATAGTCCTTTTCTTTTACTAGCAGCCTCAGGTTTTCAGTTATGCACATGGTAGCTAGGTTACATACCTGTACTGCTTTGCTGCTCTGTGACTTAACAGTTAGGTGACTCTGGTCCAGTTACTTCCTCTCTCTTTGCTCTGCCACTTGTGACATGCTGCAATGTTTTGAGGACTGGTGGAAACTGCGAAGAGAGACCATTACTTTGGAAGTTTCTGTGAGGGCTGACTCCTTTCTAGTACACCAGGGTAATAGTACAAACCTCTAGAGGCCTGTGTCCTCAGATTACTTATTTATTTTACTATGACAACAAGCAGAGAGGAAAACAAAACATAACTACATAAAATTTTATGCATGAAGAATGCAATTACCAGCCTAAATTCCTTTAGTTTAAAAGCCTAATGATAGTGATCTTTAGGTTTTAACCTAGGCAGTCTGGTACCTACAATTTATAGAGTACAAGAAAAACCAAGCAAAGAAGGACAATTTAAAAAATGTTTCTGTGCAAGCACTTAATTCCCATTTTTTAATACATTCCCCATCAAAATCCTGCAAGATGGATGCGTTTTAATAGCTATATTAATCTCATAGAAATGCAATGAACCAGGAAGTGGTGGGATTTAGGCTAAACTCCAGACAATGACTTCAAAATCTTATGCATCGTCCCCTCTTAAGGGCCTCTTTTTCAAGTACCAGCAATGGCAATGTTTTACTTTCTGAGCGTTTTGGCATGATGATGTCAACTGATATAAAGCAGAGCCCAGTCTGAAACTTTGCGTGTAATTTGTGTTCATTACTACTTTTCTTTAACATTTTCCTTACATATTTCAAATAATTTTTATCTTCAAATTCCACAGTTTCTAAAAGAGTTATGTCCTTCAATCAGAAATTCTGTCAAAAGGCAATCATGGACTTCAGCTGACCTACAGTATGATAATTGACAAGATGCAGCTAATTAAGGGTCCTCATGTCCTGCTGTATTACACTGTGAAGAATGCTAATAAATGACTTTCAGACATTCTGTCAAGTATTCATTAACAAGAGTGAGTGCAACTGCAGGTGCCCAATATTGCTCTTGAAGGTACCATTTAGGCTAACTCATGTATATTATTCAAAGAAATGAGATAGTTATTTAAAAATATCTTTATCACAGAATTTATAGCTTTCAGAGAATCTATTTTTTTTGTTGCCCAAGAAAAAAAGTTTCTCTTTCATGTATGATACATTTTAAATTCTACAAAACAGAAAAATACACCTTTTCAGATCATCTTGGGACCAACTGTATTAGAAAATTTCTGGTTATTCAAAATAAGAGAAGAAGTTTCCACTATGGCCCTCTCCTCATAAATTTGAATACAATTCTAACAATAACTGACTTTTAATACAGAGGACATCATTTTAACATCATAATAGAATGGAGAATTCATATTTCTGTCAATATTACGAAAAGGTGCTAGCCAATTTGAAAGTATGACAGGTGCCAATGGATAAAACCGAAATAGTAACACATTTAAACTGATATCAGGTTGTGTTGAAAATCATAACTTTTAGGCAGGCTCTCTTTGTGATAATGCTCTGCCACAGTGTGCCTGGAAAGGGGTAGAGAGCTCATTTTGGTTAGAAATTGCTTCCGTTTGAAGCTAGTTGCTTTTAAAATTGCTAACTTCTTTTTCAGGACTGAAGATTGAACCTAGAGCCTAGCACATACTAGATAAGTGGTCTGCTATTGAGCCATGTCACTAGGCCTATAATTTATACATTTTATATATAGCAGTGCAAGGCTTGCCTCACCAGTCTGCTGTCGGGTGCCTCTTGAACATCCTTAACTCCTTTCTCCCAGTCAGTTTCAAGATATATAATTGATAATCCCATAAACTTCACTTGATAAGGGAATATTAGCAATATATTTAGGATTATTGATAATATAAACTAAAATGCCACAAACTCAGTAAATACTGCCCTTGTCTATGTCGTCTATAGATCCCGTGCAATGAAATTTCTACTTGTATGAGTATTAAAGTACAACTGTAGAGGAAAAACAGAGTAAGGTCTAATTTGTGTTAAATGCCATGGAGCCTTGCTCTTCATACATGTCCAATTCATGTGAACCAAATAAAAAAAACTATCAACATCTATATTAATCTATGTTTATTATATATATACATATGTGTGTATGACATCATACACACAATGAAACTGAAAGTATTTTTAATATTTCTTTTAAGATATTTAATCTCATAAGAAACAATGAATTATGAAACAATTTGGTTAAGCTTTATCATTTATTCATGTATTTGAGCACAATTCTATTCATATCAAAGTTATATATTTATGTAAGAGCAAGAACAGTCCGCTTGATCTGCAATATATTTTTAGAAGCAAAAATGTAAAGATCAGCATTCTTTCCTTACAATAAAGAATAGAAATTGAAGTCATTTTGAACAAATCGTCATATGGACCCTTAAGGCATGGGGTATTTATTATTTTTTTGCAAAATAGTTGCCAGCCTCTTATGTTTATTAAATTCATTAAGTTGCTCATTGTATAAACACCTATGTGTATTCAGTGTGGCACTGGGTGTGTCCGGAAGTTGATTAGGGGATTTTGCCAGAAAAAGATTTTCACTAGGTAGATGTATAATGTTGCTACTGTAATGAGCAACGGTTTATAAATTTGCTTACTATTTATTTATTTTATCATCAGTTTCCTTTCAGTTGTTTGTGCTCTAAAGCTAAGGTAGCAACCCTTCTAATGTAGGATGCAGTGACTCTACATTCAATCAAGAAGTTGTCAACAGTGGATGCATGAAAGCTGCTGCTGTGTTTCATCTGGCTTCTTAGAGATAAGACTGGAAGGTCAACCGGAGTTTTTGTGCCCTTCTGCTCTGTGTCAACCACATTAAATTGTGATAATAGTTCAAAACACAGGGGATCTTTTCATTTACTTCCTGATTATTTTGAGTGGCTATGCATGCATTTATACAATGCCTCAGAAAAAAAAAGACAAAAATAGTGATGTGTAATGAATTTGGAGACAAGAAATGTGAGAGGAAACGTGATTTAATTTGACATCCATAGCAGGATTATAGTATGTTTTTTGGTCATGTCACAGACAGCCTGTCAGTTTGAATAGGAATACACAAAAGAATCCATAAAATTAATTTGTTTAGAACCCTAGATGAATCTGAAATGCAAGATTAATTTTCATTTGCACAGAAATCTCATTACTCATACAATTAATGGCCATTTTGCCCTCTTAAATTCTTCCTGTCCGTTTAAGGACCACTTTGGTTTGTTTGTGTGCAAAAATCCCACTAATAGGACACAGTTTGTCTCACCTAATATATTTTCATGCTACCGTTAACATTATTAAATTTATAATTTTGTTTTTTATGCCTTTGCTCACTTCTATACCCAGTTCTCAAAAATAGACTCACGATTAAAATATGGATCAGTGAAGCATAAAAAGTGATGAAAAGAGTCACACAAATAGTACAACCCAAAATAACATCACAAACAAGGAAAGGTTGGTCTCCAGTGGTGAACTCAGAATGCAAATTGGTAATGCTAGGACAAATGAATTTGCATGTGTCATTATTTTGTATATGAATCAAGAAAAAGTGGAAATGGGGTGTATATTTAAGAATTGCTAACAATTGCATCATTTGACTGAAGACTCATCTACTGCAATTTCTTAGTTCATTTTCTTGCCAAACATCACCTACAAATGCCTGTAGGAATGACTCTTGGAAGAATGACTTGTAATGTACCCTGCTTCTTTGAGGAATTTCTGGGTCTTACTCTGAGTTTTCCATTCATGGATAATACCATGACTTAGCTAACCCATTTGCTTCAGAATCATGTGCAAAAATCTCAATATCATATAAAGAAGAAAAATATGAAAGGTAAGAAGTGATATGGGGGATGAAGGAAAGATAGGAAAGATCAGGGGAGGATGGACTTATAGGCAGACCCACCCTCTCTGAGACATAAGCAGAAAATAATTACACTTTAGGAATTAGAAGGCTAAAAGGAGCCTTACCAACTTCTTATGGTTAGTATGTTCCCCCATCCTGAGATCTAGCAACAATGGACTGCAACTTTGTATCATGAACATTGGTTGCATAAAAATGCCCCAAACCCTACAAATTCTGCCTTGGTTTTTCGTACACCTAAATGTTTTATTCATTTTTCGTGACTCACTCATCACTAGGAGAAATTAGATACTCTTTGTTTTTCTTTTGGTAGAGTGGCAGAGGTTGTGGTAGCAGTTGCTGATTGTGTTACTAACTGAAGAGGAAAAACTCACAAATAGGAGCATTTACATGTGGTGATATCGTGTTTGTACTCTAACAAATAAAGCTTGCCTGAAGATCAGAGGGCTGAGCTATCCACTAGTTAACCATAGAGTTCTGAAGGTCTGTACAGACAGAAAGTGATATGGCTGTGTGGAATGAGGAATACAAGGTGGAAGAAGACAGGAGCTTGACTCCCTTTCAGATTGAGATTATGTTGAGGTAGGAACTCATGTGTCTGGCTGCTCTGCTTCTCAGATCTTTCAGCTTTAACCCCAATATCTGAATCCAGGTTTTTATCATTAAGACAACTAGAATTTTACAGTGTTAAAATGTCTGAAAAACATAAAGACAGTAATTATATTAATAAACACAATAATTAATCAAAAGAGATGAAACTGTGATCACAATTATCAAGTGATATTTTAGGATGGGAATAAGGTTATGTATTAAAGGAAGGAGTTATTCCATAACTACCATGGTGGAGGTGGCTGCAGATAATTTGCTTTGTAGTGAGTGTGATCAATGATGCACTAATTATAAATAAACTCTTGGCTAAGGTGCAATGCAGGTGCGAGGGAATTGCACTTGGTGACTTTAATCTTTTTTATCAGGGAAATAGATGCTTGGTTGAAGAATAGGGATTTATTTTGTTTGGTTCCCATTTATTTTGTGCTGCTGCCTCAAAAGAGAGACTAGGGAACAGTGGGTACTTGAATCCAACTTAATGTTAATCTACATTGTTCTTCACTCACGGTGACAATTTTATACAACTCACTATGATTCTTGATTTTATGTACCATGAGGTAATAAATGAAAATTCATCTTCTTATACACCAAATATCTATTTCCAGAAAAAAAATGTGTTTTAAATAAGTTTTAAAGA